TTCTTTTCGTTCCAAAGTTGTTAAACCACTTCAATATTGTGTAATCTTCGCTGTGTTTACACTACCGAATGACCGGTAGCAACAAAGGTGCTGTTCAATCAACCACTCCATGTCGACTCATATTATTCTTATAATAAAACATTATTACCATCTAATTCCTTTCTTTCCATTAAAATATGCCGATACAGTAGTGTTATCTGTTCATTGCAAAACCTCGGTTTAATTAGGCCGAAGTCGCTTAAGTTTAGCCGAAGCATTTATCAAGGTTGGTGTGGTTAATTAAGAAATCTTAACTTAATCAAAACATCTTACATTTTATGTTTTCAGTTTAAACATGATTATTTGTAGCCGAAACACTGCAGTATGTGTCAACAAGTTTTAGGTGAATGTGGTATTAATTCTAATGCCTTGGCTACAAACAACCTCGACTTAATTAGGCGAAGTCATAAATTCGGCGCCTTAAGTTTAGCCAAAACGCTGTGATGATGTTTTAACTATTTTTGTAATATAAGTACGTAGTATAATTCTCCCATCTATCAGCTAGCAAAACACCTTGCCAAAACTCTGTCTCCTTTTACAGGTAAAATAGGAGTATGAAGCTAGACCCTCAGGATACCAGTCAAAGATTCCGTGGATGGTCTTCGCCATTAACTCATTCCAGAGGGTTTGCTGAAATATGTCTCAGGATTAGTGGAGTACTGCCTATCGTCGACATATTTTAGCTGGAAGGAAGAGTTCTACGAGCAATATGAAGGGGCAGCCTTGGGATGTTTGAAGAAGAGTCCGTCGAAACCGAAGCTATGGCTCCGTTACGTCGATGACACTTTAGTGATCTGGCAACATGGAAAAGAGCAACTCCAGGAATTTCTAGACCACCTCAATTCACAGCACCCCATGATAAAATTTACTATGGAAACAGAAACTTCAAAACAGTTGCCATTCCTGGATGTGTTGGTCACTAGGAAGATAGATCGGGACATGGAACTGGGAGTATATCGAAAGAAGACACATAAGAATAGGTATCTGCACGCTTCATCCCACCACCACCCACAATAGAAGAAGTCCGTGATTTAACCCTTATTCCAACGAGGAGAGAGGATATGTAATAAAGAGGACCTGAGGAAAGAGAAAGATTCCTAGAAGATTTATTGTTGAAGAACGGCTACGATATAAGGGATATCCAACGAGCCACCAAACTGCAAACAGAAGGATGACTCGGTAAGTACTACACCCTCCGGTTTTTTTTGCCTTCCTTATGTTTCAGGTGTGACGAAACGAATTCCGAGGTACTATAAAGTACGGTCAGCAAAATACAAAACGCTCTTCCGATAGCCAAAGGCAAACTAACCCCATTAAAGGGAGGGGAGTCTATCGGCTATCGTGCAGTTGCGGGAAATATTACGTTGGCCAAACTGGACGTAACATCCAAAACCGCATCAACAAACACGAGAGGGATGTCCGATTGAGTAAAATCCAACAATCTGTAGTCGCAGGGCATTGCCACAAAGGAGGACACACCATAGAGTTTGACAAAGCCAAAGTGATAGCAAAACGGACATTACTTCCAAAGATTGACGATAAGTGATAGAGACGTCAAACATTTTTTCCAAAATGGCGCACGGCTTAACCCGAAAGTTTCTAGTTCTAGTGTTAGTTCTAGTTTAATATTTTTGTAATCTTATGGATTTATATCTAATGCCTCGGCTGCCAGCGACCTCGGTTTAATTCTCTGCTTTAAGTTTAGCTGAGACGCTGTAATGTGTTAACAATTTTTGAAATTTTATGGATTTATTTCTAATTCCTGGGCCGCAAACGACCAAAATCGCAAAACGTACAAAAAATGAATTAAGTTTAATCCAAAACTAGATTGTTTTGAAATATTTTTAATCGAATTTATATATTTTTCACCTTAATTCATGAATACATTCTAATTTTTGTAATAATAGATCGATAGTAGATTGATGTGCCTACTATAATAGGGGCAATGTGGCGTCCTAGTTTCCGATTAGTTTGCCGGACAACGAGCGCCGTGACGCTAAATTATAGTAGCGCTCGCGCATCTATTTTAAGAACCTCCTAATTGTCTTCAGAAATAGTATCCACTTGAGCCACTACAGTTTAATTTTAGTGAGTCACGGTCCGGCGTCCCTTTAATTACATAATTATTCGGTTCTATTCTTAGAAAATTTAAAAAGATTTTTTTTTTAAACAAAAAATCAATTTAGTTTTTTTAATTTTGATGTGACAAAAGTCTCCGAGACTTTTCCGTTTAAAAATTTAAAAAAGATCGAAAGTTTTATTCGAGATCGTCAAGGGTACAATAAAAAATCTTTTTTCCACGTGCCATTACCGTTAGCAAGACCGAGTTTTCGCCATTTTATCGTCTTCACCTCGGGAAGTACTTTGCGTTTATCACAAATTTTTTTTTAAATCCAATTTCTAAAAATTCGTTAAGATTAATATGTTTCTAATTTTTTTATGTGTGAGGGTTTGTTCTGGTTTTAGGTAGGCTGAACGAAGTGTTCCCTGAAGTGAGTGAGAGCCTAAGTCTCTCCCGGTATTGATCTCCCGTTCTGTTTCCTCTTCCCTCTTGCTCCATATCCACGAACCTGTGAAAAGCATTGACGGCCACCTTACTCTGACTGCGCGCCATCAAACCAGCTTCCAAACTAAACTAATTACTTTATCATTACGCCTCCGGTCGATGCAGTACTAGATATTTCGAATATGGGAAAAATAAAGATCTTTTTGCGCTTACTTTTATGGTTTATATTTAATTCTATTTACATTGTGTGTTATAACAGGAATATTTAAAAAAAAATCACTTCCTTTTTTGATCATTTTCCACAATTTGATAAATAAAGTCGATATTGTTGAGGTTAAGTTCTTCTCGAACCAAAAAAACATTCACTATTTATTATAACTAGGATTAAATTGAGACAAAATAATTATAATAAAAAAAAACATTGTCATGGTTATCAAATTAATATATAAATCATTTTTCGATTAACAATTTATAACCAAAATTATAAATCGGACAACTATACACAATAAACTTAAACCTTAACCTATATCTAACTTAATACCATCTTCCATCACGTCCTCGATACCCCATCTGTCCCGGTGGTGGATTAAAATTACCCATCCCATCTTCCTGGCGTTGAAAACCAAATACGGGTGGTTTGGGTTGATACCCAAAATTTCTTGAAACGCCCCCAAACCCAACGTCCCTATTTATAGTGGATCCAGGTCCTCGATCACGTTCAAATATGGCACTTCCTTTCACAGTTTCACTTCTGTACCGATCGAATTCATTGTAATCGCTGAAACTATCCGGGGAATTAAACGAGCGTTGTTGATGATTCCTCTTGGCAGTTTCCGGGGATTCAAAATTCGGTTGGTGATACTTTGAAGATGAAGTTGGTGAAGCATTCGCTAATAATTGCGCCGGGGTCATGCTAGCCAACGATTGATTATTTTTCAAGATACTCTTCGGTTTAGGAAAATCTTCTGGAGAAACTTGGCATGCAACATCGAACGTCATCGAATCATTAGTTTGGGTGGGAACTGAAGCTGTTACTTTTGCGTTTCGAGTCTCGCAATCCGCGCATTTATAACGATCAGTTTGGGTGAACATTGTATGTGTGGGTGTATTTATTAAAGAAATTTTCGTCGATGGTGTTTTATCCGTTTCGAAAATAACGGGGGGTGGTGGTGGGCTTTGGGTACCACTATTTCTTGACTCAATCGATGGTGTTTTTGGTAAATCCTCAAACGTAAATTCTTTTCCGAATTTACGGAGAAGTTTGGAGAGTTGGGAGGCCATCGTGGGGGAATCTTCCGACGTTTTAGATCTATTCGTAAATTGGAAACGAACCACCGGGATCTTCTTCAACGGCGATTGATGTTTATGATCGATTTTTTCCGGTTTGATGAGTTTCCTTACGGTGAAACGACTCGAAGATTTTGGTTCCCCGGCGAGTTCTTTTATAACATCTTGACAGTCTGAGATGACTAAAAGTTGCATATTTTGATAATGAGTTAAAATTTTTTTTTAACCTTCGAGCGGGCGCACCCGATTTTATAATACGAGCGGGCGCGTGGCATAAATTTTATGACATCAGGTCCGGGTTAATAAGTATTACGTTATTTTTAATAAAATAGTTAAAACACATATTTTACTAGAGTAAAAATATTTAATTTATATGTTAAAAACATAAAATGAAATCGATTCATTTTTGAAATCTAACAACATTTATAAACTACATACCGGGAATTTTATATAAGTCGCAATATACAGGGTGATTCTCAACTTATACTCAAACTTATATTTAAACTTGGGGAATTTTTTCCCAACGGGCAAAATAACTAATAGGCTACATATCACAGCAAGTTTTCGAAGTTATTTCCGATACTTTTTATACACAATTGGGCTCCCCGAATCTACGATCTCCCACTGCCGCGGCTTAAACCAGAATGTTGCAACCAGATTTTGCAATATTGCTCAGTATTAATTTCCGTGGCGTACACTCTGCTTTCTAAGTGGCCCCAAAAATAAAAATCAAGAGGATTGAGGTTGGGCGATCACGATGACTAGGCCATTGGACCACCTCGACCTATCTTCCAGGAAACCCATTATCTAGATGTCGCCGATTATATCAGATATCTAGGAATCTAAAAAACTTTTACTACAATTTTTTTCACCTATTAGTCATTATTTATCATAAATCATAAGGAATAAATCCCCAAGTTTAGCGTATAGGTTAAGAATCGCCCTGTATGAATGCATTAACCATAGTTACGAAACTACTGTGCATTTACACTGTCCCACATAAAATGCAACATACCTTAATAGTACAGGCATTGGGTAGTTTTGCAGAGGAAAAGTTTTGCTTGGAAACAGGTCTACGACTAAACCCGAATGTTTCTAATTATGGGTCCTACTTTTCGTTCAATAAAAATATCCCACAATCAAACGCTGAATAACAATTAAAACTAGTTAAATAATAATTGGAATTAATATAAACGTGTATGTAACATAGCAGCGCCGGGACTATCGAAATTTTTCTGTTATGCCTGTCCTTAACGTGTAAAGGTATCCTTCCTTCTGGTTGTGTTTTATTTATAATTAAAATTAGGATTAATACTAGACCTATAATCCTACTATAAGGTTGTTAGGCCATACATATCAAAATATTTCATAATTCTTGCTTTTAAACCATATTTGCATCAATTCTTTTCTATTGAAAATTTCTGTTCAAAATATACAATGGAAATAAAACTATTTTTAGTGCATAGAATTCTTTAAAATTTTAACATTAGCAAGCTTTTAGTGCATGCTTTCCTGATATATATCTTGAAATGCGATATAAAAATATGAATTCTGAAAATACGACTTGAAACATTAATGGTGCAAAAACACACCATTGGGATGTATGATGAGATATAAGAAATACATCATCTTTCGTATTATCAGGAAACAGTGTAGACGCATTTATTCGGTGATTTCCCTAAAAATTGTCGTTTATGGACATAGTGCATCAATATATGTGTAGTAAGTTTAGAGTTATTATGTTGTATTACTAAGATAAATGATCATATTTCATAAAACAATTTTTTTTTAAATGACTGTGTACATTTTTATACTGTTCATTCAGTTTTAGTTAAACCCGATACTTTCTAGTTCTAGGTCTAGTGTTAGTTCTAGTTTTAGTTCAATAAAAATATGCAACATAGTGATTTTTTATGCTAACTAGCGCTACCTACTATTGTCACTAGAACAAACATTAGACCTAGAAACATTCAGGTCTAGCCGTGCGTCTTTCAAGACGGTTAAATCCAAATGATTCTAGTTCTAGGTCTTGTGTTAGTTCTAGTGATAGTGTAAAACAAGAACTAACACTAGACCTAGAATCATTTGGGTTTAGTTGTTTTAAGAGACGTGCAGCTAAACCCGAATGTTTCTAGTTCTGGGTCTAATGTTAACTAGAACTAACACTACATCTAGAACTAGAAACATTCGCATGTTTCTTGTTCTAGGTCTAATGTTAGTTCTAGCTTTATACTAGCACCATCACTACAGAGTGTTCAACAATAATTGTGAGGTGTTTGAATTTCCCGCTTTTGCGTTTAATTTTTTAGGTTGGTATGAGAAAACTAATAAGCATAGGCGTATCATAGGAAAAATGTTTAAAATTTATCAATGTGTAACTTTATTAACAAAATTTAAAAATGTATATGAAATCAATTGATATTTATTCACATTTTGTTATAATAATTGTTGAAACTTGTTAACTCGAAAGCAATTAAAACATCAACAACCACGCCACTGATTGTTAAAAATACGTCGAAAACACAAGCCGGTACCAACGTTGTTTGTCAAATGTTACTAAAAGTCAAGCGCGCCAAATTCAAACACCTTACAATCATTGTTGAACGCTCTGTAGAACTAACACAAGACCTAAAACTAGAATCATTCGGGTTTAGGCGTTTTGAGAGACGTGCGGCTAAATCCTAATGTTTCTAGTTGTTGATGTAGTGTTAGTTCTAGTGATAGTGCTAGTATAAAACTAGAATTAATATTAGACCTAGAACAAGAAACAAAAATATGCAACATAGTGATATCTAATGCTCCTTAGCATTGTTACTAGAACTAACATTTGATCTAGAACTAGAAACATTCAAAATGTGGTAAAAATTTAAAAGAACTCTTTCTCAGTTTTTTAATAAATATACTTAGAGGACCGGTTTCGACAAATACTTATGATCATCAGCTAAATCTACAAGCGAAATTATAATTAAAAGTATATAGAATTAAATAAAATAGATAAAAAAATAAATAAACTTATAGTCAAAAAATAATAAAACTCACAATATAAAATGATTTAAAAACTAAAATAACAGAAAATAAAGATGTGAAGTGGACGACACTGAACAGGTTAAATTGGAGTAATCACATAAGAATAAAACAAGTTTCACGGTATGTTAAAAACTAGAACTTTAAGTATGAGTATTTATAGAGGTTGATAAATGGAGCAAAGCTGATCGTTCATTAATTTTTGATTTTTATGTTTGTGTTTGTCTATCTTAAGTTGTTCTAATAAGTCTAATTGTTTACTCTTCTTATAGTTGTGTATGAGAGATACGTTATTATAATCGATGTTATCATTAAATTCCATTTTATGTTGATAAACATTTGATGAGGAAGTATTTTTATGTTCCTTAATTCTTTTTGCGAGTTTTCCACCTGTTTGACCGATGTATAAAGCATCACATTCTTTACATTTAATAGAATATACACCATTTTTATTTAACATATATTATGTTCTTTGATAATATATCTATAAGTTTGTAGTTATTTTTAAAACCAATATTGATATTATTTTGTTTAAGAATACGTTTAAGTTTATAATTTATGTCATTATAGGGTAAAGAACGAAATGTGGTGTGTTCATTAGCATCCATAGTGAACAATGGGTCTAATTTTATTATAACATTATATAGTATTTTGTTAATTATATTTGGGGGATAGTTATTTTCTGTGGCTAGTTTATTTATGAAATTAAATTCGTTTTGTATAGAAGTTGTATTAATAGAGTATCTTAGCATTCTGTAGATGTACGATTGGAACACGGAAAGTTTATGATTGTTAGGATGGTAAGAGTCGTATGGAATAGTAGTGTTCAAATTTGTTGATTTCCTATATATGTCAAAAGTTAGGTCTAGGTCATTTTCATTTATAGTTAAGTCAAGAAAATTGATTTTTCTATCTATTTCAATTTCTAAAGTGAATTTCAACTTCTCATGAATATTGTTTATATATTTTAACATTGCTATAAGATCTTCATTGGTACCTTCCCATAGACAAAAAACATCATCCACATATCTAATCCATTTTTTGATGTTGTTAGAATAAGCATTAAGTTTGTAGATTTTAGCTGATGATGATAAGTATTTGTCGAAATCGGTCCTAAGTATATTTATTAAAAAACTGAGAAAGAGTTCTTTTAAATTTTTACCATATTTTAAATCATACACCTTAGTTTATGCATTTATTAGAATAGAAACATTCAGGTTTAGCCGTCTTAAGAGACGCACAGCTAAACCCGAATGGTTCTGGTTCTAGGTCTTGTCTTAGTTCTAGTGCAAAACCAGAACTAACACAAGACGTAGAATTAGAAACATTCTGGTTTAACCGCACGTCCCTCAGGACGGCTAAACCCGAATGATTCTAATTCTAGGTCTTGTGTTAGTGCTAGTATAAAACTAGAACTAACACTAGACCTAGAACTAGAAAGTCTGAAGACGCACGGCTAAACCCGCATGTTTTAGTTCTAGGTCTAGTGTTAGTTCTATTAGAATATGAACTACAAACATTCTGGTTTAGTTCTTAAGACGACTAAACCCGAATGTTAGTCCTAGTTTAGTCCTTTGAATATACAGGGTGCCCATTATGTATGGAATATAGTATATATCTCGGTAAATGTTGACTTTATAAAAAAACTTTTTATACAAAAGCTGTTTCATATTTTATTTGCCATAATAAGACAGCATTCAATTGTTTTTATTTCAGAAAACAAATGAGCAACGAATAACGCTTGAATTTTTTTAAATGGCAATGTACCCTTTCGTTAGGTTCATTTGATAAACATTTTCTTTCTCTCTACGATAACGTAAAATTTTAGTACCCTTACATTAGAAAATTTTTGAAAAAAATGTAAAAATTGTTTATTAAGAAAAATTAATCAATAACATTAATCTAGATATCCGAGATCGTCAAGTACCTCGAATTATTACCGTAAATTAAATTTACATAAAACAAATAAACGAAAAATTAGTGTACATTTCCAATAATTCGAGGTACTTGACGATCTCGGATATCTAGATTAAATAATTTAACAATTTTTGAAAAAAATTTCTGATGTGAGGGTACTAAAATTTTACGTCATTGTAAAGGGAAAAAATCTCTATCATATGAGCCTAACGAAAGGGTACATTGCCATTTAAAAAACGTCCAGTGTTATTCGTTGCTCATTTATTTTCTGAAATAAAAACAATTGAATGCTGTCTTATTATGGCCAATAAAATATTAAACAACTTTTGTATAAAATGTTTTTTTATAAAGTTGATACTTACCAAGATATATACTATATTCCGTACATAATGGGCACCTTGTATTGAACATTTCCATAAACTAACGAAAAACCGTAGATTGAAATTTTGAAAAGATAAAAAACGATCCGAAACCATCATGTATGACTCAAAATCTGTTTATAATACATTTATATCCCTTAATACATCCCATAATATAAATACGGCCTTAAACACAGCAATGAATGTGTAAATTTTTTGTCATTTATAACTTTTTTTGCCATAAAGACAATTTTTTTAAATCATGTTCTAAATACATAGTTACATTGTGCTAAATAATAAATATATAAATACTTTAGCGTTAAATCCTTTCAAATGCATAATATAAAGAGATATATTATAAAAACGAAAACTGTCATAAATTTTGACAGCGCGCCAGCTCGAAGGTTAAAATGGGTTTAAAAAAATTTTACTCACCTTTTATTTTATTTTGAATATTTTGAGGTCTAGATTCATCTAAATTTCATGGAAAAAAAATCGTTTTTCAATTAAAAACCACTTTAAAATTCAACACAATTCAATTAAAAAAAAAAATTATCCCACCTGTAAATTTTCCTGTTAAACTGAGATAGTCACTTAACATTATCTTCTTATCATTAAAAAGCTGCAAGATAAATCCACAATAAAATTTCAAATTCTTCTTTGAATTTTTTAATAAATCGAATACCTTTGATAAAGCGTCCTTTCCTAAAAGTGGCGACGTTGATGGTTTTTGCAAAATTTGATTGTGAGCGATAAAATCGTTGGGCATTGGGACGGGTTGGGGATTTTCCATCATATACGGTATATGTGTCGGTTGTAACGGGATCATATGATCGGGGGGAATAAATCCTAAAGATCTAGGAGGAAACATTGGTGGCCCCATATCCGATTGGCCAATAAAAAATTGTTGATCATAATCCGATTGGGGGGGAATAATCAAAGTTTGGGGAATAAAATTTTGAGGTGGCGGAACCGGAGTGGGTAAAAATCCCGATAAAAGCGCGCTAGATTTCGATAAAATATCCGGTAAAGTGTCTTTAAATAAAATTTTATCTTCCGGTTTTAATTTATCACCTAATTCCTGCAAAAACGTTTTGTTTCTTCTCGGACTCCTCGAGCGAGATCTCCTCCGCAACCATCGTTCTCGTTCTGAAATATCCGATTGGGGGGTCTTCGAACGTCGTCTTCTTGGACTCCTTGAAACACTGTTTCTTCTTCGGATATCCCTCCGATCGTCAATGCGTCTATTTCGTTTTTCACCTCCTGGTTGCGAGATTCTTCTGGGGCTTCTAGTTCGCGATCTTGTTTTTTGGGGGCGTCTTAAAGGGCTCCTTCGTCGAATTGGACTCCTTCGAATCCTCTCCGGAGATGATTTCCGATGTTTTCTACCAATTTCTTGGCTCCGATTTCTTTCAACGCTTCGACGAATCTTCTGGAGTTTAGTTGTAACAGTGGAAGAAGATAACTTGATGATATCCACTTCCATTTCCATCCCAGGGGGGACCAAACCGGTTTCAACAACTTTTAATTTTTCTGATATAAATTTCGCTTTTTGATCTTTCGCACATTTATCTTTATCCCGGAGAATATCCCGTTGCGTTTTTGAGGGATCCCGACGATCGCGTTCCTTTTCGTTTTGATCCGAAGAGCGGTGCCGGCGAGGTGATTTAGTGCGTTGACACTTCCTTCGAGGTGAACGGCTTTTTTGAGGTGATTTTTTAACTTTATCGTTTTTCTTGGACTCCTCTTCATCCCAAGTATCAACAACATTTAACCCATCAATAAAGTCTTCGTTCATAAAGTCATCAAAGAAATTCTCTGGAACATCCTCTTCCAGTTGTTGCTCTTTGTCATGTGATGGGTCACTATCGTTTTCAATTTCCGTCGATTTTGTTTCAGCATTTTCCATTTTCGTTGAGTGCTTTTTACAAAAACCAAAATAATTTACTTATAAGCTATTTAAGATAAAAATACAAATAATGCTTCACTTAAAACTTCTACATAATCCTCAAAATTTATTACATTCCTTGGAGCGACTCTTTTCGTAGATTATCCACAGAAATATTTACCTAAACGTATCCTTTGTTAATTTAAGTGGATTTTCACTAAAAACACCCGTTTAGAGCATAATTTTAATGCAAATCCTTGCACTAAAAGAAACGTCAAATTTGTTTGGTTATGAAGCGAAGATGGCTACGTTCTAAAATTGGTACAATTAATTATAAATTCCCACATAATTATAATTTAACAAATAAAAATAATCGACTTTTCTTTCATTTCCTTTTAATTTATTCTCTGCATTAATTAAAATCGTTACCATAAAAACCTTAAATAAAACATTTTCCTACCTTACCGACATCTTATTGACGTTTACTACGTCAATTTTAAAATATCAATAAATAATCAAAAAGCTTGCAAATCAAAGGTTAAATTAGATAATTAAAGGCTTTTTTGTATCATTTTAATTTAGAAAATTCCCTATAATTACATTCAACTACATATTATAAAAGCAAAGTTCTTTTTGTACCTAATTTCATAATGTACAACTATGGAACTTAAAAGATTCAGATCTGAGATAGAAATCTTAAAAAAATGGAAAATATGGCCTGAAAAAGAATCTGAGTTAAAATACGCATTAAAAGTAACTTTACAGTACTCGATTATAACGTTTCCACTTCTTATTGGAGTCATTAATAATATTTATCACTTATTAACAGGTTTTTCAATTTGACCCTGTTTTTTATTAATTAAAATTGTTTTTAATTTTAGAGAATTTGCCGTTTAAAGAAATTTTAGTAAACTCAGTTGTACCATTAACTTCAATTAACATTTTTTACTCAACCCCTCTTTTAGCGATTTCCGCAAGAAAAATCTCGAAACATTTGTATGAATTAGAAGATTTTACACGATTCGGAACTCCATCGAACCATAAAAAGAATTTGGACATTCTCAATAAATTAATTGACTTTTTTAGATGGTCTGTAAGAATTGGAATCATTCTTTGTACATTAATCGGTTATATCACCCAAGAAAAATGCAAATCCAAGCAATTAGTATCCAAATTGAGTACATGCGGATTATTTATCGATGTTAGATATGAATTTGACGTTCATAAATCGCCCATTTTTGAGGTTTATCTTATTTATCAATGTGTTTCTTTGTGTATATCTTATGATATCGCCGTTCATGTTGGTTGTTTAACCTCCGTTGGGAACCTAGTTTTATGCAATATGTTGGATCACTTAAAATCGATGATTTGCGATGGATTTACTAGAGAATTTAATAAGAAAACGTTAATTGAATGTATTCAATATCACGTTCATATTATAAGGTTGCAATTTGGGTTGCCTATATTTATTATTGTTTTTTAATTAATTTAAAGTTAATTTTTAGATTATGCAATCAACACAATCAAAATTTTAAACAAATCGTTTTAGTTTTAATGTTATCTTTACATATTTTTATTGGAGTCCCCGCTTTTGTGTTTATTATGGTAAAATAATTTTTTTAGGTTAGGATGTTTTATAATTATTAAAGTGTATTTTTTTAGACTTTCGATTTAAAAGCTCTCGTTATATTACTTTGTTGGATAATTGGGCTGGGGTTGGGCCCGTATCTCGGACAATTATTAATCGATAAAAGCACGGAGATATCTTACGTAATTTATGATGTAAATTGGTACGATTTAGATGTTAAAACTCAAAAATTAATTTATTTCATAATACTTAATGCGCAAAAAGAATTGAAATGCACCTCGTCAAATTCGTTATATACTTTAAACTTTGAAGCTATTAAGCAGGTAAATTAACAATTTAAAAATAAATTAGGCAACTCATTTAGCGTTGTTATTTGGGTTGCTGATATAGTTTATAAAATTTTTTTTAGACATTAATAGGGGCTTATAATTACATCGCATTACTTTACACATTATTAAACAAATAATAGTCTACGTTTATACCTAAAGTATAAAAATATTTGTAAAAGCAACGATGAATTCGAGATAAAAACTTCATTGTTAAGAATTGTTGAATCTAGACTATTGTTCGTCCATACAAAAAAAATAAACAAATTTATCAAGTTAATTTGCGTTTTACTCCAAATTTAAGATAATCTTAAAACTAGGTTAACAGTATTCGTTAATTTAAAGGTGCGTGTCGTTAAAAATGTATCATTTCGTTTTAATTTTATGTGTTTGGTGTGTAAAAGCTCAAGAAATCAACTCAAACGATTTATTAAATAATTTAGACTTAATAAGTAACATTTTTGCGATCCAAAACGATATCATTTCTTCAGTACCTAATGGGGAGTGTAAAGAAGATTTATTTAAACTTTTTTCGGCGGTGGGTAACCATGAAATTTGGGGGTTAAAAAGTAATGCGTATTAAGTTGCCTACCCTATTTTTTAATTAATTTTATTTCTTTAGTGGTAGATTCTTGGGCAAAACCCCAAATGGGGTTATTAACTGGTAATATAATGCATATAGGGAATTATGATGAATGTTTAGAAGACGACGTTGATGGCCAATATTGCTCGGTGATCATCAAACCAACAGTTTCAAATTCTTCCAATTCCACCAACATCATTTTTGAAGAAATATTAAAACAACTTGTATGTAAAAGAAGTTGTATTTCGGGAATTATAAAGAATTTTCTTGTAGCAACAACAACTCGGAGATTTAGGAAACATTAAAACATCATTCGGAATTTGTACCCCAAAATCGTGCTCTCCCCCTACATTACAAGAAATTTGTAATAAACTCTCAAACAAATTTAATTTAGATTTAGAGTTTGTAATCGAAGACTTTTTATGCGATTTTAAAGGAAAAAAAGTGTTTACATTCGAAGCTTTAATAGGAATTATAATTTTTTTTGTAATTATCTCATTAATTATTGTAGCAACAATTTACGATTTATTAACACTTCAAAAAAAAGGTTACAAAGAAATAACCTATCAACACAAATCTTATTAATTTATTTTTAGGTCGTTTCAACGTTTTAATTTCAATCTCAGCTTATGAGAACACAAAAAAAATCTTTTCAACAACCAAATCTGATGAAAACATTTCCTGTTTAAACGGAATTAAATTTATTAGTATGTTATGGATCATTTTAGGCCATAAATACATGATAATCGTGTACGTTCCTTATATTAACACAAAAATTTTGGAGAAATGGGTCGAAAATCCTTTTAATTCAACGATTATCGCCGCGAGTTTTGCGGTTGACACATTTTTTTTAATAAGCGGCTTATTAGTGTCTTATACATTTTTTAAACACCATGGGAATAATTTCCAACTAAAAAATTTTAATATTTTAAAGTATTGGATGCACCGATTAATACGGTTAACTCCATCTCTCGCCGCTTTAATTTTATTCTTAACCACTTTGGTGCAGTATTTCGGTAACGGTCCTTTATGGGATATAATGTTGAAGATGACCCAAAGTGATTGTAAACAAAATTGGTGGGCGATTTTGTTGTATGTTCAAAATTACGTTTATCCAAGTAACAATGTAAGTAATTTTTTTATATACATATAAAAGTTTTTATTGTTAACTCAAAGTTTACAATTTTCTGTGCAATACATGACAAATCAAACTTAACTTCCCTTATCACCACCTCTTTCTGAGTTCCCTCCTCCCAACCACTTCCCTCATCCATCATCTACCTTCTTCCCCCTCTTCTAGAATCTGCCATCGGTTCCTTTCTTCTTCTCTCAGCTCAATCTTCTTCCAATCCTCTCCGTACAGCCGACACCACCTCCCCACATCATCTGCCCAGTACCTGTTCGATCTCTCCTCATCGCCCTTCCTCACTCTCCTTTTTCACCAAGTATTTTGAAAGCCCTTCCGTTATTATCCTCCCATGTCTTTCACGTCCTTATCTCCTTCAGTCTCTGGACGTCCGTCGTTTACCTGTCTATGCGTATCCCCTTCACCCTCCTCTCCATCTCCTTCCATAACTTCTCCCTATCCATCTTATCGAATGCCGTCTTCAAATCTATTGGGGCATACAAATTCCCTCTCTTCTTATCCAACTTTCTATCCACCAGATCTCTTATGATGTACAGGGTGGTTCAAATTCGATGTCGGAATANAATAATCGTATACAGCTTTCCCCATAGGAAATTCGAAAATATTTTATTAACAAAAATTATTACAAATTTGATTCTAAACAAATTTTATTTAAACAATGTTTTGATACAAACAATAATTATTGAGATAACCTCAAAAATGTTTCTTTTTATACCAGTGTACAGTGCACCCTAGTTGAAATATTAAAAAATGTTTATTACAAAATAAGTTTTAAATAATATTTTAAACAAATATTATTAGAAACAATTTTTGATAAATGTAATAAATATCATGGTAAGCCCTGATATAAATTGAATTGGTAACCGTACTATTCAGAGGGAAATCAAAAATAATCGTATACAGCTTTCCCCATAGGAAATTCGAAAATATTTTATTAACAAAAATTATTACAAATTTAATTCTAAACAAATTTTATTTGAACAATTTTTTGATACAATCAATAATTATTGAGATAACCTCAAAAATGTTTCTTTTTATACCAGTGTACAGCGCACCCTAGTGGAAATATT